GTTGTTCCTTACCACGACACGTAACTGTAAAAGTAGAAATTGAGGATGATGATGATGATTCTTCTTCTTCTTTCGTTCGCATGAAATAAATTGTCTATATCTGCAAAGCCGTCTCTTGTATGAATTTCACAGTCTTTTGTAATTCACTAAGCGGCCCGTAAAGTTTGACTTCCACAAGTGTCTCTTTTGGCCAAATGTTTTGCCTGAAAGCGTTGAATATGGGACAGTCTTGAAGGATGTGATCTGTTGTTTGGTGCCAGTCCACAAGTACACATGGCCGATTGGCCAATCTTAAATTTGTTCTACATGTGGGAGCGAAGTCTATTTGTGCCCTGTTCTAAGGCGAAGGATTAATAACTTGCTCTGGTCTGTCCATAATATGGTAATCATCTTGGCCAGTTTCGGTGGCATTCTGATTGATTTGATCATTCTCTTCTTCTTTGATAAGAGACTGGTATGTCAGGTTGTTCTTCAGTTGCACCTTCCTTAGCTAGTTTATCAGCTTTTTCGTTTCCGGGAACTCCTCAGGGGAAGGTATCCACTGCATTACTAATTTACAGCGGTTGCCTAGTTCGGATAATAGTGTCCGTATGCTTGGTATTTTCCAGACTGGATGACTGAAGTACTGCTTTTGCATCTGTCAGGAATACCACTGGTTGTGAAAAATACCCTGTATTTAGTAGTTTCTTACCACTATCTTGAGCTTGAACTTCTGCATCATAGTTGTGACAGTGCTTTCCCGTTGGTAATTTGGCTGTATCCCTGGTATTATTAGGATACTCAATGTACACTCCCGCACCTCCGTTTCTGACTGCGCTTTCTGCTGACCCATCTGTGTAAACACGGACCCAAAGGTTCTGCGGGTATTCGTCATCACGTAAACTGAGGGTGGCTGTTTTGCGCTGCACCACTGTTTTGTTCTTCCTCAAATACCCCTTTCACTTCATCGTGATATGTATTGGAAACTTATACCTCTCTCCAGGGGGTCCGTTCTGGGACAGCATTTGAGGATCTATCAGTTGCAGGTAAATCAGTGGTTTGTCTGCGAGCCGTTTGGCCTGGTGGATAAAACTACTTCTCTTTAGTCGTCCCAATGCTAAATTTTTGAATCTTTCATTCTTAGGGTGACTGGGCATACCAAAAGCTTTTCTGCTTGTAAAAGCATCTTGGTGTCTCTGCGTTCACTTAGTGCTTGGGTCATCCCCCTTTTCTCCATCACAGCTATAGGTGTTGATTTCATACTGCCTGTGGTAACTCTGAGTGCTTGATTTTGCACTTTGTCTAATTCTTGCAATGTGGTTTTTGATGCCGAACTCCATGCTGTTGATCGTATTCAAGATGTGGTCGAACACTTTGTTGGTAAACTCTAAGTATTTCCCGCTAGCACCCCATGTGGTTCCACTTAGTTTTCAGAATGGCTACCTCCTTCTGGCTTTGGTTGCTGCCTTGTTGATGTGTTTTCTCCAAGTAATCTATCATCAAACGTTACGCCGAGGTATGTGGGCTCCTTATCCTCTCTCAGGGGTACTCCATTTATGTGCATGGCGCCTGATTTTTGTTTAGGAGAAAGGGTAAAGAGAGTGGTACTGCATTTGCCTATGTTGATGCTGACACACCATTTGTCGGCCCATTTAGCCATTGCATCTATGGCTCTTTGTAGCAGTCTGGTGGTCACTGTCGCATTTTCATTTGTACACCAGATTACCAAGTCATCAGCATGGGGTAGTTCAGAAAGCAGGTCGTTGATATAGACTAGGAAGAGTGTGGGGGACAGGACACCTCCTTGTGGGACGCCATGGCGCAGCAAAACTTTCTTGCTCTTAAGTCCATCTATCTGTACTCGGGATCTTCTGTTATACAAGTATGCTTTGACCCATTTGTACATACTCCCATTCACCCTGCAGTCTCTCAGTTTCTTCAGTAGACCTTCTTTCCAGACCTTGTCAAAGGCTTTCTTCAGATCTATCCATGCCGTTAGCACTAGCTTCTTTTCCTGGAAGGCATCCTCAATTTCTTGTGCAAGGTAAGTTGTCTGGTCTTCTGTGGATAGCACTGTCTAAATCCTGCCTGCTGCGGCCGTGAAAATGTTTTCACTTTCCAAGTACCATTGGAGTCTAAGGTTGACAATACGTTCCATTGTTTTACAGAGGCAGCTGGTAAGACTGATCGGAGAGGCCTCAGAAGGCATCAAAGTCCTTTCTGGTTTAAGCAGAGGTATTGTGATTGCTTCTCTCCATATTTGAGGAACTTTGCCCACTGGTCCAACAATGATTAAAGATCTGTAGCAGCTTTATTTTGGCAGTTGTTCCAAGGTTCTTGATCATTTCGTTGGTGATTCCATCAGTTCAGGTGATTTTCCCATTCTCCTTTGATATTGCTAATTCTAACCGCTGGATGTAAATGCTGCCACCAGTGCCTCAGGAATTATATCTTTTTGTCTTGTATGTAGGTTTTCTTGAACCTCTCGCTGTTTCTCTGGGCTGACATTAATGTTGCTGTCTTCTGCAAAGGAATCTGGGTCAGCTGCCTGTTTTCTTGGTAGGATGGCTCCCTCTTTGCACAGTGCAATATAACCATTTCTCCCTGTATTCTCATCATTAATTTGCTTAATTAACCTCCACAAAGTCTCTTTCAAAATATGGACTTTGTCTTTTCCTGCCAGCTTCTCCGTCTAGCCTGCACTGTTTGGCTCTTTGAAATTTGGCTTTGAATGTTGGTAGTTGTAAACTGCATGACAAGGTCTGGTCTCAGCCTGTTTTCTTTCTGTTTCATTTGTTGTGTGCAGTTGCTCCAGATCGCAATTCCAGTACGGTTTGATTGTTTACGCGCACCTCTTGGAACTGCTTCTAGGGCTGCCTGCAGTATGTGTTTGCTCAACTCTTGGACTACTTTTTCTACGTCGTTATCTGTGTTAAGATTTTCCAGCAGAACATTTGTGCGAAGCTGATTGGATCCAGTCTGCCTTCTTAAAATTCCACCTTGGCAGTGTGCTGCTCTCTCTTACAGAATAGTTAGAAAGACTGGCCGGTGGTGCCCTAGTTGCTTCCCAACAGTTCTGGTAACATTCAGTTCCATGTCTGCTGAGTGAAAGGCTAGGTCTGGTGTCGAGGGGGGTATGCCATGCTCTAGAGTAGAAGGTTGGTGGGTCGGTTGGCTTATTACGAGGATGAAACTATTCTCATCCTGCCAGTTTCTAGTTTCTCTCCTCTCTGGTCAGCCCACGTAGCCCCAACAATACACAAATGGCTATTACAATCCCCACAAATGATCATTTTTTCATTTATTAGTACAGTATCCAGTGCCTGAGGGCGGTCGCTCGGACAGTAATAGTTGGTCAGATGTAAAATCTGTATTTTCAAACTTGAGCTCAAGAGTTTGATACTCAGCACCTTCCATGTATGTTTCAATCCGGCCCGCACAGGATGTTATTTTTGACCAGGGTAAGAATTCCACCTTTTCTCCTGTCTTTGCGGTCAGATCGGAAACACTGGTAGCCTCTGATCTTAAGGCCATATCTTGTTTGAGATACGTCTCTTGTAGGCAGCATACATGTATCTTCTCTTCGTTCAAGACGTTTTCTAATTCTAATTTCTTGGTATGTACTCCCTCCGCGTTCCAGTGCATTATTTTAAAGCTAGCTGTATTTTCTGCTTTTCTGGTTCTACGGGGCATGAGGGGGAGGCTTCGAGTATTTGAAGCTGGACTTTTTCTTCTTGTCGTAGGCCGGTAAATCGAACCACTTGTACGTGAGTGGGTCTCATGGTGGAATCAAACTTATTGGCAGATATAGAAATATTCCCTGTTGCGTTTGTGCGTGGCATCCTGATTGCTGTGGTGCGCCTCCTGGCTGGTTGCCTCCGACTTCAGCACCTTGTTATGCTAGAGTAGACTGGGGTCTTACCCGTGGACTCCCATGTTTATAATGGGAGCGTGGCTCCTACGCGGTTACATTATCGGAATTAGGACACGGCCGCCGCCGTGGCTATTTTGTGGAAATAATTCCGTTATAACACCCCTAAACCACATAATGCTTGTATCCACGAAAAGAAAATATCCATCGTCAATGAATTAGTAATAATCGCACTCTGTTATCAAGAGAAAAACACCGATTAAGTGAAAATTTTAGAATAAAATCGTGTGTCGCCGCAAACACGTCCTCACGCTGCCATTTCTAAACCGGAAGTCCGATGATGATGATGATGATTACCATTATTGTTTTAAAATTCGCCCTTGCTCTCAGCGGGACTCAGACTAAAGGGAGTACGATAAAATGGAATTGTGTACGTCACCCACCACTCCACATTATCCACAGCGTTCTAGATAAAAAGCATAACTGCATTTGTCACAAACACATGTTTTTTTTTTAAATTGTTTACTGTACAGATTACTATTATCATTTAATGTTTGTTATTATTGATGGCCGAGTGATTAATCCGCCGCGCTTTCGTGTGGAGGCTAAAGCTAGATCCGCAACGAGAGATCGAGATTATTATGTCTGGATCTATGGATCTAAAATACAAATCCTTCCCTGCACAGTTCGAGGCGTTAGACAAGTCATACCACCTCAAATCCTTTTGGGAGTCTCCGTGGCAGTGGTCAAGCGGTTTGCCTTGCGCTCTGAAGGGCGTGGGTTCGTTTCACGGCTGCGACCTTCAGTTCACCCGTGCACATTGTATGGGGATCCTTAGAGATCGTCACCGGAGCTAGGGATTCGTACTTTGTATGTTGCCCTTGGCAGTAAGCTAGCGAAAAACTGAGTCATATGGGATAAAGCACGGTGTAATGAAGTAGATACTGTCGACTTTAACCTTTAACCTTAAATCCTCAAGTTCACAGCTAGTCTGTCATACATTACCCCAAAAGGCGGGGTGGGGGTTAAATAAAGACAGTAAGAACATATTTTTAAAAAAATATCATTTGTCGGTTAAATTCGAATTCTGTTATACTGAGGTCCAGTAACAAGATTATTTGTTGTACATAATTGTATTTATTCCGCTCAGTAACTGCGAAGTGGAGAGGCAGTCGTTATGTCAAAGGTGATGACTACTCTGTCATTGTGATGTACGATGTCAACGGCTTCATAGCTGGAGTCCAAACAGCGGTATTTAACTTTGATCTTTCCTGATTTACCTAGGTATCCAAGTTCTATTTTTTTAATGTAAAGTAAAGGACCCTTTTGAGGCCTCATGGCATATTGGGTATACAGTAAAAAGTAACAATTGTAAAAGACCCTTTCCCATTCATTCTGACGTATTGGGCATGCAGGGCTAGAATTATATTTTCTAGACCAAAAGACATTCCGTACGTGATGTTGTCAACATGACGACGGGGGCCAGGGTATACAGTGATAGACCTACATTTGTTAGGCCAATCCATATTCTGTGGGTGATGTGGCCAGCATCATGCCGGTCGCCTTTATTTCCCATGACTTTAACAGGTACGCATTTAAAGGCTGGTCCACCTTAAGAGCCAAGGTTATTCTTTGAAAAAAAATATTTGGCTCGATCTGTAATAAAACCCACGACCTGCGAATTAAAACGCGAACATTTAGCTGCTACACCACCGTGGCTACACTCAGGATCTACAACCACTAGTTTTTTTTCTAAAGGAGGGTGGGAGAAGTGGGAAAGGGATGGGGGTGACTTAAAGTGATTGAGCTCTCAGATTCCAGTCCCCCATGTAGCGCTGTCGGGTCAGTTATGTAGTCCATCTCGTTAGAAGCTCTAACTTGCTATTTTATCATCATCACGTGGCTAAACTCTGGCCCGGATTTAGACTTGATGAGGCCCATAAAATATAAAGTCCTGAGGCCCCTACTGTTTTAAATTACACTAGCTAATCTGAAAAAAATTTAGAAACATTTGAATGACAGAAATATATTGTAATAATATAAAATTAACTCTTTGAGTCCCAGGGTGTTTAGCATCACAGGCCCAGGTGGTAGTAAAGAGAGTAATAAAATTGGCGCATCATGCGTTCATTGGGCTCCTAGGTAGGAACCTATGAACGTATGATGCGTTCCTTGGGACTCTAAGAGTTAAGAATGTGTCTGCAAAATCACATAAATAATATTGCACTACCCCCTTAAAGATTCTACTAAAAGAAAATTACATTAGTGATTAATAAAATATGAATTTGTTGAGGCCCCTACCCTGTGAGATCCTAAGGTCTCGTTTAGTTAGCTTAATCTCAAATCCAGCATTGCCTACATCCAGTCAATCAATTAGCTGATAGCTCCACAATGAAAGCTGACGCAATAAATCTCTAAATAGCCCTTCCTGAGAGACAAGAAAGAGAATTCTCAAAAGGACGTATAAATCCTATCTTGATACACGTAAGTAAATCATGGAGAATTGGCAAATTAGTGAAAACCTTTTTGGAAGCTAAGGATATGTGGTTTTACAGATAAATGATGAGAATACCCTGGACAGATAAAAAAAAAAAAAAAAGAGTAAATAGGGTGTCTCAAAAGAAACTCGCTCACGAAGAGAACTGATTGCCCACATCAGAAAAATACAGTCTACATTCTTTGGTCACGTGATGAGAAGGAGAAAACTGAAGTGCCCGTGACAGTAGGAAAGTTTGAGGGGAGGAGAGGCAGAGAGTAAACCGATAGAAAAGATAATGGACAGTTTGACATCATTACATGGAGGATCATTTGTATGAGAGCTGGCTGAAAGTACAAGAGGCTAAATGGGAGATTCTTTCGAAGTCGAAGTACAACTGCCTGAGAGAGCCAATAGTCTGCCTGCAATTGAGTCAGACCTGTGAAATGGATGTACACGCAACACTCAGGTTCTGGAACAGGATTAGAGTCTAGACGAACAACCAAGACTCCGCAGGAGCTTACAGCCGGTGAACGCGAAGAAGTAAATTGTTAAAAAAAAAAAAAAAAGAAACTTAAAAAAAAAAAAAAAAGAATGCATAGTTCCTTGTAGTTATACAATTTGAGCTACATAATAATAATGAGTCTTCTTCTTCTTCTTCAGCATTCAGAGCCCTTGAGGTTCATTGCTGCAGATATCATCCGCCTACACTCATCTGTCTGCTTGCCTTCTCTTTCCAACACCAGGTGTTTGCAGGTCTCTCTCGACATTATCTCTCCATCGTCTTCTTGGTCTGCCTCGTGGTCTACGACCATTCATCTCCCTTGTGTATACAGTGTTTACCTCTCTGTCATCTCACGTTCTCTCAAAATGCCCCAGCTATTTCAACCTATTTGCTCTCATGATACCGATGATCAATGGTAATTATAAACAGATTATGAATTTCGTTGTTGCTTCTCTTTCTCTCTATTCCCCGATGTTTTTATCTTTGATAGGTCCACAGATTCGTCGTACTACTTTTCGAAAACCTGTATTAATCCTTCATCTCCTTTAGTTGTGTTTCAAAATATTGTGTCTTAGTACGATTTTTTTTTCTGGACATCAAATTGTGATTATATATATATATGGGCAATGGCACTCTTCCGAATACCGGCCCCATATTATTCAAAGACAAAAAATCCCATTCAGAGCCTCAAGAGGTCGTTGTTAGGGACTTGAGAGGTCATGTAGTTAAAAATATGGAACAGGAACACTACAAACTATGCGTAAAGGTATAGGAAACAGAACTTTCTTTTATCATATAATATTTCGTTTGAACGAATAAATTTTAACCGAGTCTTCGCTAGTATTCATAGTTGATACGGCGCGCAGTCTGCTTGTTACGCCGGTGATCGGGGTTCGATTCTCCGTATGTGTGTGTACACACACACACACACACATATATATATATGTTTTATATATATATATATATATATATATATATATATATATATATAAAAGAGGAACAGATATTACGAATCAGTTTCGACCTCACTTAAAACATGAAGACCAGCCAACTTAATTCACAGAAAGGGAAAATCCCCGAAAAAACCAAAGTTACACGTTATCAGTAGGAGATAACCAATGTAATTTGATCACTTCATTAGGAGTAAAAAAAAACTGGTGTCATTGTGTTGCTGGCTTTAAAGAGATGCAAATGGAGACCAAGAGACAACATGCTGAACATTGTGGCATTTTTACATAATGGAACAAACTCGTGAAGGTATAGGAAACAGAGCTCTGTGGGCAAAAATGATCATCGGAAATAATTAGTACAAGTAGAAATCGAGTGTTTTTTTTTTTTTTTAATAGCGAATAATTTTTACTGTCATACTATGAGTCAAGATGGACCCTGTTAAAATCATAAAAATTACAATGACGGCGCGCTAGACTGTATTTTCTATAAATGTATAAGGTTCTTGTTAAAGTGCTTCAAAACATTATTTGGTCACAATTTAAGACACAATGTTCATTCTTCAACAAATGCAGGTAGCAAAGACACCTACATACCCACCACTCAAACTGAAACCACCATTTATTGACGATGAAGATCGTTCATTTCTAACTGTTTACTTTACAGACCCAGGTAGGTGTATGTTTTACTTATATGTATCGTCAATGTTTCACAGTGGCATGGTGGCATTTTGTGTCACCGGGTGTTTATCGCTTGTGTGAGTTCCTGATGGGGTACAACTACCTACCTACCTTGTTCGCTTCGTGTAAAATATTTGTTCTGTGCCGACTCTCCCTGATATAATCTTTCCTAGGTCGATCTTTTCTTTTTGCAGTCTATTAAAATGATAGATTATAAAATAGAGAAAACGTGTTTCTGCATCTCAGTTTTGATATATATCACTATGTGATAAGATGCTGGCCCAGCTCTTGGGCGGCTGTCCAAGTTAGTTATCTTGAATGAAGTGGAAGACACTTTTTATGTCAGTGGTTAAACTTCAAATCGTAACTAAACTTCTTCTTTTTATATATTTTTTTGAATATTCAGAACCATGAGTTCTTAACCCTTTGGCTCGGTACTATGGATATCGCAACTTCACAGTTCGTGGCCACTCCACTATTATGTTGCCTGAAATCAGCAGATGCCCCACCACCTCCTCTCCACTATCCTACATTGCTCTGAAAAAGTGAAATATGCAGGCAGTATAAACAGGCAGTTAAAAAAAATAAATAATGGCATATCACTTTTTGTTATCACTTCTTTCTCCAAATGTCACTGCCCTTCTGTAAGCTTCAACCAATAACAGTAAAATTTATTATCTAGGATGTAGCCCAATATGCCTTCTGTTTCACAGTAAAAATATGCACCACCGGCCGCTCTGCTGAACAGTTCGCCTCAGAGGGTACGGGTTCCAACTTATACATACAGAACAACACCTCGCCTGAAGCAAGCATCCGGTTGTTTTCCACAGTAGAGGAAGCAGAAAATACCAAACCCTGGACGATAGCTTCATGTCTGACTTAAATGGGTGAGATAACGATTTTTACTGCAGTTCCTTATCATAACCACAGGTTAAATGAGTAAGCGTAGACAGTCACATTTCATAATCTCACACGATCGTCAGACGCAGGGACTGAGTCAGGGTTTTTGTCCCGCTCAGTATGCGGCTAACCATCCAGGAATTTCATCTTTTTGCCGTCGCCTTGCTCTTTTGCATTGAAGTTTACCAGTTATTGCCAAATTGCCTTGTTATTAAACCTTATAATCTGTACTCCTCTGCCGCATGCAAGAATACACACTCACAAAAAAAATGCAAAGAATATGTAGCTGTAAAGCCCACAATGAAAAGACGTGAACAAGTTATCACCAAAATTGCGCGGAAGTAGGAAACTTGTGGATTGAGGTCATGAAAACGTCGAAATTAAACTTTAAACCAAAGTTGCTGAGAAAAGCTGGGACTGGATTCTATCCATGATACCAAAAATAATGCTGACGACAGAATATGAGGTTTGAGGTTTTGAACAACGGATCAACATCATGGCACACGGGTGGTAACCCATAAGTGCTCCGTTCTTCTTTTAACTCAAGTCTTAGTCCGAAAAAGCTCGGCACAGTGCACAGGCTCTGTAGCACCGGCGAGGGTCATGGAATACTGTAGGTAGATTTTTTACTACACATTTTGCCCGGGAAGTGCCGTTAGGCCCCTCTTTTTTATTTCCAACTGTCAAGGGATTTTTTTACGTGAGCAACAATGCACACGGGCGTCCGATCTCACTACCCACAGACCAGGAGGAATTCCTAGAAGTCCAAGTCCACGTGAAAAATTCTCAGCCCTTACCGGGGGATTTAACCCGGAACCTCTAGCACTCGAGGCGGACACCATGACTCGAGACCACGCAGCCGCTCAGGACATAATATTTGGAGGGCTAGTCTACCTACTCTGTGTGACGTACATAGGCAAAATGGGATTATATTACCAGAAATCTTCAAGTTGCCCATTTAAATTTTGCTTGACCTAAAAACATTACGTGTCACACACACATACACACACACACACACACACACACACACAGACACACAGACACACACACACACACACACACAATATTAACCCTTTCCTATTGTAGTCTCAAACCGAAGACCTTTGGCCCTTATAATAAGCCTCTAACACATTCGTTACCACGGCTGCTAAGCATGTTGTTAATTTCCACCAAGATTTTTCAAATTTAGTTTTATAACTGTATTACAATGTAGATACACTTAGAGCATACTATAACTAAGTTTTTATTGATAATGTTTATTATTATTATTATCTGCTAAAATGATGTATGAATGGAATAATGTATGCACAGGGCCTAGACAGCAGGGCAGAATTTAACATGAACCTGTGTAACATCACCTTTGAAGCTGAAACGTCAGTTTATAATTTCCATACATTGTTTCCACCATTTAGGCAATATGCAAAGAAACTGAAATCAATTTCATTTAATCTATATCAGATAACTATCAAAAATTAAATGACAGGGTCGATTGTTTATCGTTTACTTTTTAATATGCCAAATATTCACATGCGGCGTCCGTGGCTAAGGCGTTGCGAGTCCGACTCATAAGCCAGCACACCGCGATCGAAACCCACTGCAGGCTGCGTGGATTTGTGTCGTGGTATGGGATGTCGCCGGTCGACCCAGCCTAAAATGGGCTGTCCTGGGAAAGTAAAGACAGCCGACGTGATGCTGATTACCCACCGAGTGCTGATGGTCTGTAAAAATATGGGACTCTCTGCATATGCCCGATGCGCCGAAAGGCGTGAAAAGGGATCTTTACTTTTACTTTTATTCACATGATATTGAGGAAATGTCAGATCCATATTGCTAGTTACAGATCCGGCATGCCAGGCCATCAGCATGTGAAGATTATATTTTATGACGTGCAGGTAAAAAGTTCCCTTTTCACGCCTTTCGGCGCATCGGGCATATGGCAGAGCGTCCCATATTTTTACAGACCATCAGCACTCTGTAGGTAATGTGGTCAGAATTATTACGCTGACTGTCTTTACTTTCCCAGGACAGCCCATCCTGGTACCCATTTTAGGCTGGGTCGACCTGCGACGTCCCATACCACGACAAAAATCCACGCAGCCTGCAGTGGGTTTCGATCGCGGTATACTGGCTAACGAGTCGGACTCGCAACGCCTTAGCTCAATTTGCTCTCGCAGCGACTTTATATATCAACATTACCCGAGTACCTGTTGCAGTAATCACCGTAATGTCTTGTCCGATAAGCGCAGCAGAAGTTCCGAGGCCTGGGAGCCATGACCCAGGTCGGCACCCCCAAATGATTCTCTAAGGAGGTGAACAAGCCGGGGTAATACTTATTTAAGATCGGTAGACTCTTGCTGAGCCTGTTTTCGTGTTGAGTTCTTATTTTTGACGAACTCCAGCATTAGAAAAAGATCCCGAAAAGGGGACACTTTTTCTTTTTTTGGCGAAATCTGGCATGAGAAAAGATCCCGGAATGGGGACATTTCTTATTTTTTGACCAGCCCCAGCATGAGAAAAGATCACAGAAAGGAGACGCTTCTTATTTTTGTCGAAATCCAGCATGAGAAAAGATCTCGGAAAGGGGACACTTCCTACTTTTGACAAACTCCAGCATGAGAAAAGATCCCGGAAAGGGAAAATTACACTGTACGCAGACACTGTTAAACTGTCGCGAAGTTGCTCGACATTAACATAATAATAAAGGAGGTTGTTGCACAAAGCCGATCTGGCATACTGATCTAAGTTTTGGTGTCTCGTTCATCCAGGCAGCAGAGGTTGCAGGAACAGCGAAACGTAAGCAGGTTAGAAAGAACCGTGTGGCAAACTCTAGTGTCCTTTACATTTACTTTCCGCATTGCTTGATAAATTTCTGGGCTCGAATCTTACATCCTTTATCTACATACTCATTATCATTGAATTTAGACCCCTCCCCCCCAAAGGAGGGGGGAGGGGTGGCGGTGTGTGTGTGTGTGGGGTGGGTGGGGGGGGGGGGGGGGGGGGTGTCATTTTGAGCTATTTTTGTCACGTGTGATGGGCAAATCACATTGTTTTTTAACATGTGATGGACAGATGACGTTATTTTCCTTGCTCTGCTAAAATAAAACAAACTGACAAGCCAGCAACCCTGAAGCTTAAGGTTATAATTGTGCTTTGGCTATGTGCGCCATGTAAAATAGCTTTGCATCGCACAACCCGAAGAGCCATGAAAAGGACTCCAGCAGTGTCGATGCGATCAAAGGAGACAGACCACAATACCGTCCCGACCAGCGACCAGCCAAAGTGCGACCCGGTCGCAAATGAGACAAATTACATTGGTTCTGTGTGTGTTTGTAATTATGCAGGACTACATTACTACTACAACATAACCTTAGAGCTACAATGCGATGAACTATTCCCCATCGGCCTGCTGTACAATAAGGGACAGTTGCATGGATTTTCATGGCTTTTCCTAGCCGATCTTCCTTTGGGACGTTACGAAAAATTACCTAAAAGCCCATTTAAGGTATGTATTATCTGGTGCAAACTATATGTGTTTGTCTTTATATGATTTGCTTTGTGAAGAATCAGCATAAACGGCGCAGTGTGCCCTCCTATATGAAACAAAAGTATTACAGCATAAAATAAGGAGGAGGAAAGTAAGGATTAGAAGGAGAAGAAGGAGGAGCATGAATTGAAAGAGAAGGAAGAGAAAAAGTATAAGATAATGAGGGGGAGGAGGAGAAGAAGAAGGTGGAGATGAAGAAGGAGAGGAAGAAGAAGAAGAAGGCAAAGGCGAAGAAGAAGAAGAAGAAGAAGTAGAAGAAGAAGAAGAAGAAGAAGAAGAAGAAGAAGAAGAAGAAGAAGAAGAAGAAGAAGAAGAAGAAGAAGAAGAAGAAGAAGAAGAAGAAGAAGAAGAAGAAGAAGAAGAAGAAGAAGAAGAAGAAAGAGAAAAAGAAAGAGAAAAAGAAAGAGAAAAAGAAAAAGAAGAAGAAGAAGAAGAAGAAGAAGAAGAAGAAGAAGAAGAAGAAGAAAAAGAAGAGAAGAAGAAGAAGAAGAAGAAGAAGAAGAAGAAGAAGAAGAAGAAGAAGAAGAAGGAGAAGAAGAAGAAAAAGAAGAAGAAGAAGAAGAAGAGGAAGAAGAAGAAGAAGAAGAAGAAGAAGAAGAAGAAGAAGAAGAAGAAGAAGAAGTAAAGAAGAAGAAGGAGGAGGAGGAGGAGGAGGAGGAGGAGATTGAAAAAATAGTAGCAGCAGTTACTTACAATCATGTAAACTATAATTTAACTACTAATTTGCATTTTTTTTTAAAAATTTCAGTATGTGCTCAAGCAGGTTCCCAGGTGTTTTAATGAGCACAGTTTGATCACGGCACAGCACGTCTATCTAATCTATAATGTTGAACAGATTATTTGCTAGTCAGTCATTTTTGCCATTCTTGTGCTCAAAAATGAAAGAAAGCACCTCCTACTGTGTTACAACGTGACTAACTAGCGACACATATACTGTTTCTCATAAAATACAGAAATATATTTTTGATGATTTAAGATGTTAGCAGCATTAAAATAACACTGTTAACATAAAAAAAAAAAGTTTGCAACCTATGAACAAACACAAATACGCACACATGAATGCAGACACACTCACGGAAGGGCGAACACACACACAAACACTCACATTCGTTTTCTTCTGTAGTTTATTAAAAGATAATACTTATATGTTTCAAATTCTTGAACAATAGAAGCTGTTTTTTTTTGTTTTGTTTGTTAATTTGCAATGTGTGTCATAGTCGTGTAAATTATGAAGGTGAATTTTATGTTTATTTCGTCGATATAATATTTTGTTTCTATATTCTAGTACTTAAATAATACCACATTAGATGTTAGGAGTCAAATAACATCTTCCGCCATTAAAGTACAGTTTAGTAAAACATGGCAACTACAGAGGATGAGCTGCAGAAATCACTGGATAATCTCAGCCTAACAGCAAAAGCACGAAAAAAGAAAATGAA